ATGCCAAGGTATTTAACCGTGGATGTCCAAGAAATATTTTGATCTATTATGATAACTTGATCAGTGGACTTGGGTGAAGGTGATGGTTTGCGTCTTGACTGGATTAACTGTGAATTTTCATTTACGGAAATATTCTTGAAGCTCATCAAGGCTCGAATGTATTTTGTTGCGCTTCTGAGGTACCATGAGGAGACAAAGATGGCAGTATCATCGGCATTAACTGCTAAGTGGGAATTTGGGCTGCTTGGAATGTCGTTTATGTAAAAGATAAATAGGAACGGGCCTAGGATGGAGTCTTGTGATACTCCCGCAGCGATGCTTTTGGTGGTTGACCATTGATTGAGGAAATACCGTTGACTGAGACGTAGAATTTTCTATTTTTTAGAAGTTGGCTACTATGTTAATAAACAAGAGTGTTTATTCTCTGTAGTTTGATTAGGAGAGCACTGTGCCAGACTTTTTCGAGGTTTAGAAAGATAAGTTGTGTTGATCTATTTTTGTTTATTTCTAGGGTGATGTGTTCCATGACACGTTGTAGCTGTTGAACGCAGAAATGTTTTGTTCTGAAACCAAACTGTTCTGAGATGATTACGTTGTTGTTTTTGACATAAGTAGATAGATTATGATAATTTTTTCGAATATCTTGCTAATAGTACTAGGAGGCTGATCGACCGGTAGCTGGTTAGCTCTGTAGCGGGTTTTCCTTGCTTCGAGATTACTTTGGCGATTTTCCACGCCAGAGAAAAATACGAGAATTTGAGGCAAGTTTTGAATATGTAGTACAATTGAATTATGAGTTTGGTTGAGAGTTTTTTAAGTGTAATTGTGGAGATTTGTTGTTGGAGAGTTTCTTGATTTTTTTATCTGCTGATTTCAGGACATTTCAGGATATTGTTGTGTGTAAACAGGTTCGTATGTAGGGAGGTTGTTAAACTTTCGATTTCGTGATCAATGGGAGAGGATGTATTCCGTGTTATGAATTCGGAGTTTTCGGCAAGATTTTTTGCTTTTTCTTCATCTACATAGCAAAGGGTATTGCGTGTAGTGTTTCTTAATACGGCTATTCGGGTTTCTGTGCCTTCTGTACGTTTGCCAAAATGTGTGGTCCATTTACTTTATATGTTTGAAAGCCTGTCCTGCTATTTTTGATTTCTTGATTCTATAACGTGCTTATGGATAAATGGATTGGTGAGCAGATTTCTGTATTTATGGAGGGGGTTATCAGTTTTTTGGAACTTTCTTCTATGTTCGTTTCTTTGTTTGATGAGGTCTCGAAGGTTTAGATCTATGGAGGAAGGAGGATTTTTGTATTTGCTGGCTGAGGTTGTCGATTTCGTCGTCTATTTCAGTTATGGTTTCTAATTGGAGTTTTTCTAATTGGCAAGGTTTTTTTGTGAAGGCGGTCCAGTCGGTCTGTGCTGATGAGTACTGGCATCTTGTGTTGTTTCAGGTTATGAGCGAAAGAACTCCTGGTAGGTGGTTTGATGATAGTTCGTCTATGGTGCTGCAGTTTTATAAAAAAGGGACGTTTGTTAGGAAGATATCAATGTTAGAAGGAGTGCAGTTTGGTTTTCTGTGAACATAAGAGGAGCTGTGAATGATACGATAGTAGATTTGTAGAGTTCCGCGTGATTCTTGAGGATGAATCCATTTGTGTTTCTATTTGTGTTGTTCCATAAGGCCGTGCTTTGCATCAGGAAGTCACCGCCTATGATATAGTGATCAGATCCACGGGGAGGAATATGTCACTCCAATGGTTAGTCTGAGGGCTGTTTTAGTTTTGATTGTTAGTATTTCTATGTTGTGGGGGATTGGCTGTGGTGTGTCTTCTGTTGGGATGTCCTTGTGTACAACTATTAATACTCCGCCTCTTGGCTTGTTTTTGATAGTTGGTGGTCCGTTTTGTCTGTATATTTTGTAATTTGGAATTTTCATGATGTCTTTTGGGGCAAGTTAGGATTCGGTGATAATTACAATATCTGTGTTATGATCTGTTAGGAACTTGTGAAATTCATCTATCTCATACGCTCGTAGCGTTACATAAAATGATATTAATGGGGTTTCTATGGCTGGCCATTGTCGAATTCTTTCATTATTAGGATAGTAGTTCTGACTCTTTCCAGATTGTTGGTGCAATTCATATAATATTTTTGGATAAACGCTATGATTTTAAAGAATTGGTCCAGGTCTGCTGAGTTGATGTTTATGTAGTCGGAGAGACTTGTGTTGGTCGGAAATTCAGTTAGTTGAGACTGTGGAGATGGTTGAGGTGATGAATACTCTTGCGTACGATATTCCTTGTTTTATTTTATAATTTGTCTGATGGGGGAAGTGAGGATTCTACTGGAAGTGAAGTGGGAGAAGTTTTGTGTTGGAAGGGATGAGGCTGGAAGGAATTGCTGCGTGTGTTAAATTTTCATATTGCTAGCGGTCTTTTTTGCCAAGAAGACTAGCAGAGCTGGGCACTTTGAATAATTAGAAGAGTGCCCACCTTTTCAATTGGCATATGTTGGAGAAATTTCAGGTGTTTTGCTACACATCTTGTGTAGTGCTAACTAGCGCATTTAACGCAAATATTACAGTTAGATGAATTGTGACTGTATTCTCAGTATATTTTCAGATTTTTCACGTATCTGACATGGTTAGGGTGATTCCGGGGACGAAGGTGATGCAATATATCAAATATTTGGTATGAGTGGGGATTTCGGTGCAATGCACGGGATTTAGACCGTGGGATTTAAGATTATTGCAGATTCTGAGTTCGGGAAGGCGGATTGGGAACCTTTTGAGAATTACTGTCA